ATATATTTATACACACACACTCGTGCGTGCGCGTGTATGTGTGATGAATTTTCACTAACAGTTCAAATTCAAGATTGCAGGGTTTTTACTCAATGTAAAAATTTTATACATGTATCTCTGTTATGCTGAAAATCTTGGCTTCTACCAAGATTCTACCCACTGTGAGTGCTTCTTAAATGATAATGTGCATAAGAATCATCTGGGGTAAAATCAAAGATTTCTTGGCTTCACATAGGCATTCTGAATTCACATCTCTTGGGGTATGACCCAAGAATTTGTCTTTTTAACAAGAGCCCTAACCAATGCTGATTTAGAGGTCAAGGATTACCCTCTATGAAACAGTGCTCTGTTGGACTGTTGAAGTATTGGAGTGGACAGTTTTTATCCAACACTTTAACTTTTCTGAGGTAGTGGTTTCTTTAAAACATCCCAAGAAACTGAATTTAAGAGAAGCATCATCGAATATTAGGAAGGGCTCTGAAACTTGTAACAAGTTCAGAGTTCAAGTTGTAGCCCTGTTGCTGGCTAGTTTTGGGACCTTGAGAAAGCCCCTTAATCTTTCTAAGCTTTGGTCTCTCCACAAGAAAGTGGGTACGAAATGCCTGCCTACCTCTGAATTTTTGTGAGGATCAAATGAGGAAGTACTTTGTAAAGTATCAAATGCTATAGATATTTTGAATCATTGGGGGTCAGTTAGTCTTTCTTAAAAGTATTAGGCAATATTATGCTTTAATGATTTCAGAAAGGCAATATTTTTCTTTTAATAATCTCTCAGAAAAATAATTTCAGTTTACCTAAAGTATTTTTCTTGTTTCTAGGAGTGAAGGATATATCCCAAGTAATTATGTAACAGGAAAGAAATCAAACAACTTAGATCAATATGAGTAAGTAAATGGTTATTTTGTGACTATGGAGAACCAGAAAATGTTTTTATTTTCCTAGTAATGTAAGGCATTTGGAGATTAATGGATATCTTTCATTATCTTTAGAAGGTGGTACTAACATAACTCAGTTGTCTAGGCTGGTAAAAGACACTGGCAGATTTGTTTTTATAATACACTTTACCTGAAGGTGCTATGTGTGAATAGAGTAATACAAACAAATACAATTGAATTGATTTTAAATGAATCACAGTGTAGCTGACTTTGAAATACAGATAATTGTTCATTCAATCAAGAAATCGAAATATAGTTTCCCAGAAGGTCTTTAAAAAAATATGGTTTTTTTCTTTTTCTAACTTTAACAATGTATGATGATTGTTTTAAAATTATTTAAAATATTAAAAAGTCAATAAGAAAAATTACTCATAAGTCAAATAGACTTGACCTCTGTCAACATTAGTATATTTTCTTTCAATCTTTTAAAAACTAAAATTATCCTATATATAATGTTAAGATCTATTCCACTTAACAGCATATTGTAAGTGTATTTCCTCATGCCATTAGTCTTTGAAAATATTTTCATATCTGCATAATATTTCACTCAGTCATAAATTAATCAAATATTTACTGAGATCTTTGTATGTATCAGGTACTGTGCTAGGACTTAAGGGGCATAACCAGGCATATGGCACATGGATGTGTAGTAATTTATATAATCATTTACTTATTTGTATGGCATTATATAGTTCAGGCATCTTTGCTATGTAAAAATAACTGGGACAACCTCTTCTTGCTTATTACCTTAAACTAGATCTCTAAAAATCTATGCACTGGGCTAAAGGCTGGTTCTGAACTTGTTAAGACTCCTAACGCATGCTGTCAAATTGCTTTCCAGAGAAAGCAATGGGAATATTATTCACATGCCCACTGATGTGTGTGACCAGGTTTTAGTGAGAGGTTTATATATACCAAATATTCTTTTGTGGTCATTCTGAGGTGGTGTATTGATGTTTCATTCACTTCTTTAAAAAGACTACCACCACCGCCACCACCAACAATGAAAAGAGGTGAGGTGTCCTCTGTCCATGTCACTTCCAGGTAACGTGAGTGTACCTTAAAATCTAGAAGAGGATTAATAGATTCAAAAGTCATTGCACTCAGTGGTGTGATCCCTCGAGGTTGTTTTATAAGTAGGTGAGGGTATAGAAACTATGTAAGTAAAAGTGTTTTTTGTTCTTAAATAATATTTTATGAAAATATAGCCAAATCCTCAGAATTAAGGAAGATGCTAAAAGGCGAAAACTTGGACCTAATTTTAAAGTGATCTGACTGAGAAGTAACTAATAATTTGGGGGTACGCTTGGAAACCAGATAATTTTTATCTAAATGTGAGAACTCTCTTATGACTCATGGGATTACAAATAAGGATTGTATGAAGCTTATGATTCATTGAGTTTTTTGGATATATCTTAGTTTGGAAGTTTTCTCTCTCCTGAGAGACTCTTCTCCTCTGTGCGACTAAGGGAATTTGTTGTGTAAGGTCTCTGGCACGGGAGTTCCCTAAGCCATCTGCCCAGAGGTCAGGGATTCCGCATGGCATTGTGCCACACTTAGCTAGATGACAAGGGGGAAACCTGTTCTCAGTGTGAGAGTCAGAGTTCCCCCTGCTTCTCCCGCTGTCTCTCCACTCCATGGTATATGTGTTGATTTTTGCTCTAGCTTGTCCTTAGCACATCTTAAATGTTCCTAGTATTAAAAAGCCTTTTGCCAGCTGTTGAAACAAGAGTTCTCCTGCTGTTTGTTTGGGCCCAGGAAGATCCCAGGCAACAGACTGTCCACCGGGCTGGGCTCAGGATCGCCAGGCCTGAGGCTCTTGGGGCTGTCAGTGACCTGGTTCTGACTTCCACACCTAGGTGACTGTTTAGGGAGGGGAGAGATGGTGGACCCACTGCAGGAAGAAAGTGGGTTCATTGTGATGGTTAATAAGATGTTTTTGATGGAAAGCTGTTAAAGGAAGAAGGTGACAGGAATGAAAGGGACCTTAGAACATGGAAAGTCTAGGATAAGGCTTTGAGTCGGTGGCACAAGGGGCAAGGCTTAAATTAGAGAAGCGGCAAAGGTTGATAGCTGTTTTCTATTTTTCCTTCATTTATACCTGCTCAGCCAGGTCCAACCTTTCCAGAAAGGACTGAGTGTCACCTAAGTCAGACACCACTACGAAGTCCTGTTCCTCTCGAGTGTTTTAAAGTGACTAACCAATCTGAAAACTGCATTCACGTTAAGGTTTTGCTATCTGAGAACGGAGTGACAAGTTACTTAAAAATCCTGGGCATTCTTTCTGGATGTACAGTTCCTTCATCAAGAGGAGCTCAGCTCTCCCAGAGGCATTTCTGTGCCAGCCTCGCGAGAGCTGTATGTGGGCTGGCACCTGTGTGGCAGCACTGCCCTGCTCACCACACGGGCTCCTTTACATCTTATCCGTGTGTACACTTCTTCCTGACAGGATGAATTCAGCAGAGCCACTATTGTCTTTCCCTTCTTGCCTAGCGATAAGCATCATAGGAAAGTGGGGAGAAGCCACAAAGAACCATTAGGAAATACTCACCACTAGTTGATTCATCTATTTATTTGTTCATCACTCCTTCCTCCTTTCCCTCCTTCATCATATTCTTGAAGGTCTGAGTTTATATCTTAGGGAGGGAAACAGCCTTTCTGGGAATCTGCAAACGCCGTAAAAATGACCCCTCAGAACAGGATTTCAAAGAGCCTGCCCTTCGTGCAGTGGATTCCTTTTCTTCTTTCCTTTATCCCCTTCCAGGAGCTTGGTTATACTAGGTGAGGAAAGGACCTCTTTCTTTGAGTATCTTATATCTAATTTCCTCTTGAGAGCCACAATTTAGCTTTACTGATTTATTGCATCTGAAACATGAGACTAACTCTCCATTGCTTACTTTTGCTGTGAACATGTGGGGTCTAATCTTCTGTTATTAATATAGAGAGTTTTAAAAAATCTTTTTTGCTGATTTATAATGTATAACGAGAGCTCCAGTTACCTTTCCTTAGTTAATTTCTGTGACCATTTTTGGCATTCTAACAAATATTTCTGGTATTGACAAAAGAGCTTTAGGGACAGAATCCATTCTGTTCTCATTTATTATATTCCTCAGTTGCATTCAGAAATTGATTGATCAGAACCGCAATTTTGTTGAACTTCAGCTCAATTAATAAATTGGAGTTCATAGCAGTGAGATCTTAGTGCCCACAGTTCTGAGGCCTGGTTAATCACCTCAGGCTCCAAATAAAATAATAGTCATCAGCTTGTACTGGCATTGTAATTTGTGTTCGGCCCCTACAACTACATAAAAAAATTCAGACCAAATAAGATCTTGTATTGTATTCTTGTATTTTTCCCTTCCTCAGTCAGGGAAGGCCTTTGTGTTTACTTGTCTCAGGGTGTTTTCCGGACCAAAAGTAGGTGCTGGTTCTTTTATTAAAGGCTGAATAGTGGTGAAAAACTCCAGTGTCCTGAGAGGCCAAGCTGGCTTCTTAACTTTGGAGGGAAATGTGACGGTGGAGAGGTGTTCTCTGCATCTAAACCAAGCAAACAAAAACCTAAATAAATAAATAAAGTTAAAACTGAAGGCCACAGTACACAGTCTGAGTTCACATTCTTTGGCCTACTTGCTTATACAATTGACCTTTGAACAACATGGGTTTGAATTGCGCAGGCCCACATATACGTGGGGTTTTTTTCAATAAACACTGTAAATTATTTTCTCTTTATGATTTTCTTAATAATGTTTTCTCTAGTTTATTATAAGGATACAGTATATAATATATGTAATGTACAAAGTATGTGTTCATTGACTTTTATGTTATTGGTAAAGCTTCTGGTCAACAGTAGGCTATTAGTAGTTAAGTTTCGGGAGAGTCAAAAGTTACATGTGGGTTTTTGACTGTGCAGTGTGTGTGTATCAGCACACCTAACCCCCGTGTTGTTCAAGAGTCAACCATAATCTCGTGGAATGATTGGCCTGGGGAAGCAGGGAGAGGGGAGGGCCTCTGAGGAGGAGGTGGGGATGGCAGTATCCTTTTTGCCTTAGGCTGTACAGATCTGCAGAGACTTGGGTTGTGGCACAGCATGGTGGCAGCACCTGGTTGGGGGGGTGGGTGTGGGTCTTGATGGGATTCCTACGGCAGAGCCTTGGGGCTGTGGGGCTGTGCTAGAACCAGTAAGTCTGGAAGCCCCAGGAGGCCTGCCGTTTTATTTTGCTGTGTCATTTGACAATTGGGACCTTCCTGAAATCCTATGAGGGAACCTTCATAATGACTTGAGGTGAAATCTACTGCCTATTTGTGGGATAGGGGCTTGGCATAGATTTAATTTGAATTAAAGACAATAATGTAAAATGACGTATTTCCTGAATATTTTAGTGTGAGGAGTAAAATTCATTCTTGCTATTATAATAGTGAAAATTTGGAAATGATTTTTATGTTAAATAATGAAGATAGCTTAAATTATGGCACATCCATACCATGATACACAGAACAATACTGTATCTTATCCGTGTGTACACTTCTTCCTGACAGGATGAATTCAGCAGAGCCACTATTGTGGTGTCAGTCGTATACTGATAGACAGTATATGCAAAATTCAGGTTATGATTTGGCAAGTGTAACTTGATCCCACTTTAATAAAAAATAAGAATGTTGGTATACATGTGTCTTTCATGGGTAGAAAAAGTCTGAAAGTATATACATTAAATGTTACTAGTGGTTGTCTGTGTTAGTGAGATTATGAGTGATGTGTTCCTATTTATTGTATTTGTTATTGTTGAGAAATATTATCTGTTAATCCTGAAAAGAATAAAAAAAATAACTTTAGAAACCTGAAGCCTTAAACGCATCTTTTTCTGTTCAGATGGTATTGCAGAAATATGAATAGAAGCAAAGCAGAGCAACTCCTCAGAAGTGAAGTAAGTGTTTGTACTTGTTTCCTGGGTTCGGTTTCAGCATAAGTTATTTGTAATAAACCCCAGATAAGCAATTCCACGTACCTCTGTTCCTAAAGCCTAAAAAAGACTAAGACGCAATTACAGGATTTTTGTCTTAAATCATTTAAAAGTGAATGCTGGTGTTTTAGTTTCCTGGGGGTGGCGGGGTGGGGCTGCAGGAAGGTGGGGCTGTAACGAAGTACCACCAACTGAGTGGCTCATGCAACAGAAATTTATTTTCTCACAGTTCAAGAGGTGAGAAGTCTGAAATCAAGATGCCAGCAGGGTTGGCACCTTCTGAGGGCTGTGAGGGGAGCGGCCTGTTCCAGGCCTCTCTCCCTCTCATCCTGTGCATATAAGTCTCTATGTTCAAGTTTCATTTTTATAAGGACTCCAGTCACGTTGGTTTAGGGCCTACTCTTCGTGACCTCGTGTTAACTTGGTTCTTCCTGTAAGTCTCCAAACAAGGTCACATTCTGAAGTAGTGGGAGTTAGGACTCCAACAAACTTTTTTGAGGGGAAAAAAATTAAACCCATAAGAATAGGTAATGGCTACATATCGGTAATCTTTTCTTTACTCTCTTTCTTATTGATTTATCATTTGCTGCCTTGATTTTAGTACTTAAATGTGTTTTTTCTTTTTGCTTAAAAAAACTATGTGATATCCTTTAGACATGAAGTTTTAATATTTAGTTGCCTTTAGAAATAAATGTGCTAAAATTCTTATATTTTAAAAAGAAATAAAACACAAGGATAAAATGTAGACCAGAGGAAGCCATAGTGGACTGAGTAAGGGGTACCAAGTCTGGCTGTGACTCTTCTAGTCTGTTTTCGCATCTATAAGATGAGGAGGTTGGATCAGAGGATGATCTCTACAATTCTCTGCATTTACGATCTAGTTATTCTATTCAGTACTAGTTCCCAATCTTTTAAACCCATACTTTCTCATTTTATCTCTTGCTTATTACCACCAGTCAAGGTTTTGTTGGACACTTGTTTCTACAGTTTATGCTGGGAGAGCAATAGCAGGTGGCTTTGCTTGATCAAATGACACATAACCACGCCTATTTCCCCACAGGATTCCTATATGCCTCCTAGGTGACCTGCAGATGTGAAGCCGCTATAGGGAGTGGCCAGCTAGAAGAGCTGGGGTCCAAATCTTGGCTCTGCTTCTTAATAGCTGTGTGACCTAGGGCAAGTTATCCAGCCTTTCTGTGCTCCATTTCCTTACCTATGAAAGAAAGTGGGTATAACAGTAGTATTTACCTCATAGGACTATTTTGAGGATTAAGTAGAGCTGCAGATAAGAACATAGTAAAACAGAATAAGTTCTCAATAAATATAGCTATTATACTTTTTACCAATTGATGATTATGATCATCATCCCTAGTTGTTATCAGACTTATTTGTGGGATTCTGTTTAATTCCATTGTTTTTCTTACGAATAAGAGTAAAATTTATTTTATTTTTCAACTGTTAAACACACTTTCATCGTAAAGCGTTTCGGTGCTGGAGACAGCTGTGGTGTTGGGGGAGAAGCATCGGCGGTTCCTAGCTTCTGTTTCTCGCTCTCTGGCTTGGCACCTGATGAGGATTTAACCTTTAGTCTCTTATTGTCGGTTCTGCCTTTTGGTGCTTCAGTGACTTGTGCCTCCGTCTCTCCTTTAGTGAAGAGTGATATTTAACATCAATTTCCAAGGGAGTTAAAGATTTTAAAAAAACATTCTTGTAAAGAGCACTGAGATATCTACAGGAAAATTGCTATTTGGATAGAAGATGATGTTGATTCAGGATCATAGCCTATAGCAAATACGAAAAATATATGAAATGAAACCCAATAATTAAGAAACACATTTTTCAGTATCTGTTTTTATGTCCAGAACTAAAAGGCATTGCAGTCTCATCTGTTAGTTTTGGAAGGGCGCTGAGGTATTATCTTACTGAAATGTCTCATGCTATGGGTGTGAAGATTTGTGCTTGTGGGGAATTGTGAGTGTGCTTTCTTTTATCTCATGGCCCAGTCATGTCAAGTGAAAAGTCATGTGGATGAGCCCTGTTGGTAAGTTGTGTTTCTCCAAAGCATATTTTCTAGGCAAAGGACAATAATCATAAAATTGTAGGACTGGATGCTCACATCTTTTCTGCGGCATAGATATTTGTTATCGAATTGAAACAATTTTCTTAACTTGGATTTTAGGATAAAGAAGGTGGTTTTATGGTAAGGGATTCCAGTCAACCGGGCATGTACACAGTCTCCCTTTATACGAAGTTTGGAGGGTAAGTAATCCCACTCTCTCTTCTTTAATTTAGAGTTTTGTATGAAGTTCCTATATAGTTTTTGATTCATTATTTTCAAAAAATTTCAGCATTAAAAAAAACACGTGAACTTGATTTTTAAAGTCTATACTATTTTTATATTTCTATTTTGGTAATTTTCCTCATAGTTGTGTGTGTGTGTGTGTGTGTGTGTGTGTGTGTGTGTGTGTGTGTGTGTGTATTGAGAATGGCTATGAAAACTTTACTAACATTCAATAAATAAGTACTATGTCCTGCATTAAGCACTATGGATACCATAGCGAGCAAAGTAGTCACAGATCCTGCCCTCCAGTAGCTTAGTGGGGCTTCAGACAAGCACACAGGCACTTATGGAAATATATGAGTAAGCGCAGTAAGCGCTGTGCTAGGAGGGCAATGTGTGTGTGCGTGGAGGGGGCGGTATGAGGCACATAGCCCAGACATATCTGAGTTAGTCATCAACGTTGTCTAGTCACATCCAAGCTGGGACCTGACAATGAGACAGACAAAGGCGGAGGGAGGGGAGTGTTTCTACCCAGGAAACTGCCTGGACCCAGAAGTGAGGGAGGATATAATAAGTTCCAGGAACTGACAAAAGTGTTTCATAGCTGGATTGTAGAATGGGAGGGCCGGGGTGGAAGGAGGAGAGAAAAGCCTGAGATAAAAGTGGAGGTTAGGTCATGTCAGTGCCAAGGAGCCAGAGCTTTACCTTAAGAGCAGCTAGAGTTCTCTTGAAAGGGTTTTTGACAAGAGGTGACTCGAGAAGATGTATGTTCTAGAAAGATATCTAAAATAGAATTTTAAATTTTCTTATAAGTCTGGTTTATTCACTTTTAGAGGTGTAATTCCTCCAAACAATTGCAAATTTACACCAAGAGCAGGGACAAAAAGCAGTTAGCTAGCTAATAGCTATTTTAAGACTTTTAACTTGGGTTAAATGGATTTGGTAAATGTTCTCTTTCACAGTCTCAGGCGAGGGACCAAGAATGTTATCAGTGACCACTTTAAAAACTTTAACCTGTTAATGTGAAAGGCAAAACTAAGAAGAACATGGGGAAAAATAAAATTTGTGCAGCAACTAGAAGGGGCCATATGTAAGGACTCTGCGGTGACCAGGTAGAAAACATCTTCAGAGTGAAGTCACGTGATTCCAACCTGGTCTTAACACATTTCGATTTTTGTTATAGAGAAGGCTCATCAGGTTTCAGGCATTATCATATAAAGGAAACAACAACATCCCCAAAGAAGTATTATCTGGCAGAAAAACATGCATTTGCTTCAATTCCTGAGATCATTGAATACCATAAGCATAACGCAGCAGGTAAATGAGCTTTTAAAACCGATTTCAAATATTAGGTCGTAGCTAAAATGATCAGACATTTTGATGAATTCTTCCTTGAGCAGTTTTATTTTCTAGCTAATTGTCAGATGTGATTGATTTAAATTTATTGTATATTAAGAACTGAAATGTACAAAGAAAAGTCAGAAATATCAAATTTCATAGAAAGCTCTGTCTTGACCTTAGGACATGAATTATTCTTACCATATATGGTAAATGTCACATTTCTATGGTTTTATCCTTGATATTGACAAAGATTCTCTGCTTGACTGGAATTTAGTCAGGCTCCTGAACTGTCTCCTGGCAATCTGTGTACTTTCTTGTAAAATCCAGTTTTAGCAGGAGCTCTGCTATATGTCAGTTTAACCAGAAACCCCTAACCTGGATATCATATACCAGACATCAGGTTCCTCATCTTCCACCGTCCCCCACAGTGATGTCTGGTCACCCTGGTTTGTCTTCATTAAGAATCCTGTTAGAGTGGTTTAGCTAGAACTGCCCATTCCCCTCACCCTTGATGTTTTTCTTAGTGATATTCTGTCCACTGTCCCCTACTCTGCTTCTTGGCTGTGGATTCCCACTTCCCCATGCTGTATTTGGAGTTGAGCCCAGTCTCTCATGCCCACTCTAAAATCCCATTGCAGTGGTCCCTGTACTTATTGCAATGGTCCTGAATGAATTCTTCCTTCTTTAAAATTAACTTTCGAAATGTTATTGAAGGCAACTTTCGCAAAGTCTTTTGCCATTTGTGATTCTGTTCGCTTTTCTCAGATAATGATTGGAACAGGTATTGAGATACCAGTTATTGAGAACAGTTATTTATATATCTAAAGTTCGCCCATTTAAAGTGTACAATTTAGTGGTAATTAGTATATTTACAGAGTTGTACCAGCCATCACCATAATCTAAGAACAATTTCATCATCCCAGAAGGACATCTTGTACCCGTTAGGAGTCACACCGCACACCTCCTTCGCCAGTCTAGCCCTAGGCAAGCACTAATCTACTTTGTCTCTCCAGATTTACCTATTCTGGACATTTCATATAAATAGAATCATACGATACATGGTCTGTTGTGACCAGCTTTTTTGATTTAACACAATGTTTTTGATATTCATCTATGTTATAGGCTGAATGAGTACTCCATTTCCTGTTGTTCATGGATGGATTTCGTTTATTTATTTTGCTATCATTCATCAGTTGACAGACATTTGGGTTATTTCCACATCTTGGCTATTATGAATAACGCTTCTGCGAACATTTGTGTACAACTTTTTGCATTGAAATACATTTTATTTCTTTGGGGGTACTTACCTAGGAATAGACTTGCTGGATCATATGTAACTCTATGTTTAACATTTGAGAAACTCATTTCATACCAATTTATCCCCCAAAGGACTTTTTCTTAGCTCTTATTGGTTTTTCTTTTTCAGTGTTTGCATTCCACTATTTTTTTCTTTTGTGTTCTTGTATATATTTTATTCTTCACCATTATCTCCATTCATTCATTTAACGAACATGTATTAAGTGCTTAGTGCATACCAGGAAGTATGCTAGGTTCCAGGGAGACTGTGGTGGCCTAAGATAGTCATTTATCCTGTCTCTCCCAGATCTTAAAATCCAACAGAGGAGGCAGAGAAGTCTATAACAATATTAAGTTAGTAAGAGATATGCTGTATTAGAGGAAATATAGAGTGCTGTGGGTGTTTATAGGAGAGATACCTACTGTTCCTTCTTATTGGGTGATGTGTGCAATTTAAATTAAAGGATTTAATGTACCTCACTGATTTCCAGTAGTTGGTATTTCTAGTTGATAGTTTAAAACCCAATTTTTATGGTAAGATTCCTAATATAGAGATATGTCAGTTGAATCATTTTAATTTTTAGTGGACTACTATAATTCCCTTTCATAGCTTAGATCTCATATTGGAAAAGAACATGAAATAATAACTGATAACTATTAGAAAGCTTTTCTTTTTTTTTTTAGAAAGCTTTTAACATCCTTTAAAGTGTGAGAAGAAAATATGCTAGCCTGGTACCTGATAAACACTGTAGTATTTAAAAGAAAATGTGTGTTGAATGAATAAAAACATATATATATATGTTATATATATATTTAAATATTTTATGCTCTATAAAAGTATGAAATTGTCAACTCAGAGAGTAGGACCATCTTCTTCCTTCCTGCTTTCCTCTCGTTTTTCCCCCAGCATGTAACACAGAGGATGAGCACTAAGTGAATAAATAAATGAATTTTATAAGTGAGTTTCTAGTTTAGCACTTTACCACGCAGAATGATTAAGGATAACTCTGACTGCGATACTTTCTTTGATTTCTAGGACTAGTCACAAGGCTGCGCTACCCAGTTAGTGCAAAGGGAAGGAATGCACCAACCACTGCAGGATTCAGCTATGGTAACTCATTTTGTAGTTGCATTGGCTAGTTTTTCTTGAAAAGAGTCCGTTATTTAGAGGTGTAGCATTCTGCATAGTGGAACTATTCTTATAAGTTTATAGAATGGGTCTTTAGATGATTGTACTTATAGCTGTAGTAACCCTAGTTTTTTTTTGTTGTCGTTATCATCATTACTCATAATTTAGCAGAAAGCTGTCAGTGAAAAATTAGCTTTACTATGTTACATCTAAAATAAATCAAAGCCCTTCCTGGTTCTCACCAGCTTTGTTGGTTACTCAAGAGAAAGTAAGGATGGAGATAATAGAGAAGGCATTCAACTTGATTGTCACTGCCGCTTCGGCAAAAGCCTTTTAGACAGCAGGTTAAATTCTTTCCAACTTGCTAGAATTGGGAAAAACAAAAACAAAAACAAAAAACCCAAGGTGGGAAGAGTGGTAAAAGAGGGAGTTTTTGTTCTTTTTTTTTTTTTTTTTTAATACCTTTAACTTCCAAGCTCTATTATTATTAGCTTATTATGTAGCATCTTCTTGCCATCTTCAGTTTACTTTGCTTGTATTGTGACAGTTCAGAAGGGGTACATCCTCCCCAGAGAGTAGAAAGTCACCATTTGCAGTTTAGATGCAAGTTGCAAATCTGCTCTGTGTTTTACCAGTAATTGTATTATCCTGTAACTTTGAGATTGACCTTGGTTACAATACTATGTTTCCCAGTGACTCCTGCTCTGTTCTCCTTACTGAATTTTATCACTTTCACCCTCTGTCTCACAGAGAAATGGGAGATTAACCCTTCCGAGCTGACTTTTATGAGGGAATTGGGGAGTGGACTCTTTGGAGTGGTGAGGCTTGGCAAGTGGCGAGCTCAGTACAAAGTTGCGATCAAAGCTATTCGGGAAGGTGCAATGTGTGAGGAAGACTTTATAGAAGAAGCTAAAGTGATGATGTAAGTTACTCTGTTCTTTCTGGTTCCCCTTTTTGCATGAAAAAGTGGCTTCTTACCAGCACTGGCCTCTTGATGGTTTCTTTTTCTATCCTAACTGTGTATATGCATGACTTCCCTCCCAGGAAACTGACACACCCGAAGTTAGTACAGCTATATGGTGTTTGCACCCAGCAGAAACCAATTTACATTGTTACGGAGTTCATGGAAAAGGGTTGCCTTCTGAATTTCCTCCGACAGAAACAAGGTCTTTTTAATAGAGACTTGCTCCTGAGCATGTGTCAAGATGTGTGTGAAGGGATGGAGTACCTCGAGAGAAATAGCTTCATCCACAGAGATCTGGTAAATTTTAAACCACCTGTATTTTCATTCATTAGCCACATTCCTTTATAACACTGGGTTAGCAAATAAGCAATGATTGGTTAGTACCCAGTTTTTGCTCTCAACAGTATTTTACCATTATATTTAAACTTGGTAAGTTTAACTTGCGCCATAATTTTAACAGAAAGATCTTTTAAAAATCGAATACATATGATACATAATTACATAGCCAATTGTATAAATAATACACAATTACATGGGTAATGCTTCCCAGCAATCCACCATGGATAAATTATCTTATCTCCTTAAATTATTCTTATCTCCATAAGAATCTCGTGAAATAGTCTCGACAGTGTTTCTGACCATCATTGTTTTATAGATAAGAAAATTATCTTCAGAGACTCGAAATGACTTGCATATGATGATAAATGAGGAAGTTCAGGGTTGACTCATCTTCTAACTAAATCCTAAGCTCTTTTCCATCGTGTCACACATTATAAGCAGAAACTGTAACAGAAATCCTTGGTTCGTTTTCTTTCTCTCTCAAATTACTGGGAAAAAATGGAAGCCCATGTTAATTCCTGAAAAATATCAGGAAAAGCAATCTTTTATTACTGATTCTAAATTATTGTGATTAAGACACTTCTTAATTTTTTCTCTCTCTTACTTTTCTCCTTCTCTCCTCCATTCTTTTCTTTCTCTTTTCTCCGTCTAGTCTTCCCAAATGTGTCTGTTTTTGGCATGTTGGCAAAACCATCAGACCTCCATCCCCCGTAACCACCATTTTATTGTTTTTTATAGTTTTGATTTTTTTTTAAGATTCTACTTGTAAGTGATATCACATGGTACTTGTATTTCTCTGACTTATCTCGCTTAGCATAGTATACTCGAAGTCTATTCATATTGTCACAAATAACAGAATAACTTTCTTTCTCAAGGCTGAATAATATTCATTTTATATATATATCTATCACATCTTTTTTTTATCTATTCATCCATTGATGAACATTTGGGTTGTTTTCACGTCTTGGCTATTGTGAATAATGCTGAGATAAACATGGCGGTGTACGTTTCTCGTCAAAATCCTATTTTCACTTCCTTTGGACATATACTCAGAAGTGGAATTTTTGTATCTGTATGGCAGATCTATTTTTAATTTATTGAGGAAGCTTCATATTGTTTTCCATAGTGGTCAGACTAATTTATCCCACTAATTTATATGTATAAGGCTTCCCATTTCACCACATCTTTGCTATCACCTGTTGTCATTTGTCTTCTTGATGATAACCATTCTAACAGGTGTGAGAGGTGATACCTCATTGTGGTTTTATGGCATTTTCCTGATGATATGTAATATTGAGCATCTTTTCACGTGCCTGTTAGCCATTTTAATGTCATCTTCGGAAAAGTATTTTTCCTTTGCTGCCCATTTTTAAATTGATTTGTTTGTTTTCTATTAAGTTGTGTTAGTTCTTCACATATTTTGGATATTAACTCCTTATCCAAACTGTGGTTGGTTTGCAGAACTTTTCTCCCATTATGTAGGCTGCTGTTTTCGTTTGTTGATTATTTCTTTTGCTCTGCAGAAGCTTTTGAGTTTGATGTTATCCCATTTATTAATTTTTGATTTTGTTGTTTCTGTTTTTAGTGGTATGTCCAAAATATCATTGCCAAGACCAATATTGATGAGTTTCTTCCTTATATTTTCTTTCAGGAATATTTTTTGGTATCAGGTCTTATGTTTAAGCCTTTGATCCACTTCAAGTTAATTTTTGAGAATGATGTGAAATAGGGGTCCAATTTCATTGTTCTGCATGTTCTTCTCCAGTTTTCCCAGCATTGCTTGTTGAAGAGACTGTTCTTCCCCTATTGAGTATTCTTGGCTTCCTCGTGGAATATTAGTTGACTATAAATACTCGAAATTAATTCTGGGTTCCCTAATCTGTTCCACTGATCTATCTGTTTTTTTTTGTGTGTGTCAGTACTGTATTATTTTTATTACTATGGCTTTATAGTATAGTTTGAAATCAGGAAGTATAATACCTCCAGTTTCATTCTTTTTTCTCAGGGTTGCTTTGGCAATTCAGGGTCTGTTGTGGTTCCACATAC